AGGATTTGGGTGAGTTGTGAGGTCACAGGAGAGAGGAGGGTGTTTCTGCCACTGCCTGCACACAGGGCAAAGGCGTGGAGGCAGCCAAGCTGGCTGTTGGGGATGTGATGGAGGACGTGATTCCCCTGATGGAGGATACCTGTTTCCTTACCAGTGTCAGCCACGGTCTCCCTCGGGCCATGCTGAATCACCTTTCTAGGTTAAACTATTGCATTTGTCGGGATGCAAGTCCAGCTGCCTAAACAAGACACAGTATTGCACAAGACAGACCTTTGTCTCTGTCCCGGTCTGAGCATGAGCAACCTGGAGGGCTTCCTCTCTCTACTTGCTTTTCGGTGCCACAGGCTCCTGTCCTCGTGCACCTGCGTGGCCGCGTCAGCAGGCAGGAAGGTCCCCAGTGGGTGGGGGAGGCCGGCTCCCTTTCTCTAGGGGCAGGATCCAGACTTTGATCACAGTACTTCCATTCACACCCCGCTGGCAGGGCCTGGGGACATGGCCACATCTAAGGCCAAGGCAGGCTGGAAAAATGTAGGTTTTTACTGGGGCCGCTATATATTAGCTAACAATTGTATTTTTCTTTGAGAAAAAGAGTGGATATCGCAAATACAGGTAGTGTGTGGCATTTGCTTTTCTGGGTCCCAGGGTCTGTGAGGTCAGGCACCTCCCACGGTGCCCTCAGTTTTCATTTTCTTTTTTTAAGATTTATATATTTATTTTAGAGAGGAGAAGGGCCGAGGGAGAGGGGGAGAGAGTCACAAGCAGACTCAGAGCTGAGCACAGAACCCAACTCGGGGCTCGATTCCACGACCCTGTGATCATGACCGAAACCTAAGTCAACGGTCAGACACTTAGCCGACTGAGCCACCCAGGAGCCCCTGCCCTCAGTTTTTAAAATTATTTTAGTAGGACCACAGTAGCACCAACGGAAGGTGACACTCAACATGTACTTTTTCCCTTTTAGATTCTTCTGGACCACACTTTTGGTGTTTAGATTGAAGTCACATGGCGAGGTTTTGTTTTGTTTTGTTTGCATAGTTGGTCTAGAGCAGTGTTTTTCAAAAAGCATTTTTTTTCAAGATTTTATTTATTTCTTTGACAGACAGAGAGAGTAGGCAGAGAGGCAGGCAGAGAGAGAAGAAGGGAAAGCAGGCTCCCCACTGAGCAGAGAGCCCGATGCAGGGCTCGATTCCAGGACCCTGAGATCATGACCTGAGTTGAAGGCAGAGGCTTAACCCACTGAACCACCCAGCCACCCCTAAAGCAGTGTTTTTCAAACGTCTTGGACTTGGGACCCCTTTGCCCTCTTAAAAATTACGAAGGATACTCACAAGCTTTGCCTGTATGGGCTCTATGGATTTATATTTATTGTATTAAAAACTGAAACAGACATTGACAAGGATATGCAAATGAGCCGTCCCCCCTCTGGACGTCTCCGCTGCAGAACTGTGACAGATAGATGGTAAAGGAGCAAATAATGTCTGAGGGATATTATGAAAATAATGCTGACCTTGCACACCCCTCACTGGGGTCTTGGGGATCCTGCCGCACAGCTGGACAGCTACTGGTCTAGAGAGCGTCACTGGCCATGTTGACTTGGGTAACAGATTGTGTTGGAACTAATAGATGCTAGGATTAGAGGTTAAAAAACAAAGTCAGACAAGACCACTCCCTCTGAGGAGTGCATGGTCCACAGAAATGAGTTGACCGACCCATCTATAAACTTCTTTCATCTTAGATTTGAGGGGAGTCGGTTTCTATTAGTGAAGTACAGGTAAGTTTATGTGTGGGCGTTAATAGTGATGGGTTTGCATCTATGGCAAGTTAATAAAAGCCCATGTTCGGGACACCTGGGTGGCTCAGTCCGTTAAGCCGCTGCCTTCGGCTCAGGTCATGATCCCAGGGTCCTGGGATCGAGTCCTGCATCGGGCTCCTTGCTCAGGGGGGAGCCTGCTTCTCTCTCTGCTTCTACCTGCAACTTTGCCTGCTTGTCCTCTCTCTCTCTCTCTCTCTGACAAATAAATAAATAAATAAAATATTTTTAAAAATAAATAAATAAAAGCCCATGTTCAAGATATATTGAATTAGCATTTTGTACATTCAGAAGATCATTACAGAAAAGTTGGTTTGAGTCTTGTGCCCGCTGGTCATTGTTTTTGGGTACCTGGGCCTGGCCACCCGGAATCTTCTCTCACTGGGCCCATCCCGCTGCCTCCCATGGAAGTGTCAAGTGCTGGGCATTTGCATTTTCCGGTGCCTGGCTGCGGGCATGTGGCCTAGGCTCTGCCAGCCACAGAACTCCATCTCATACTTTGAACTAGAAACTGGTGACATCAAACAAGACACGGCAGCCGGTGGCTGTGCTGTAAGCTGGGGGACCCTCTTCCCCTCACACCAGTGCTGCTGAGTGATTTTGGGGGATTACATAGCCTCCAATCCCCATTTCCCAGGCCCTCCTGGAATTCTGTGATCTTCCCATTACCTTATGAATTCAAGAGTGTGTGCCTTCTCTTGCAGCGAGGGGTCCTGCTTGATGCATTCCCAAAGACAGCGTCTCTGCAAGTACTGTTTGGAAACCTCACATGTCAGATTTACCCAGGCTGTGTCCTAACCATCAGTGCTGATGTGGGCTCACAACGGCTGGATTCAGAAGCCCTGTGGTTGAGTTCTAGGAATCTGCATTTTAAATAAGCCCCAGGCTCGCATAACTTTTAGATATAGTAAAGTTTAAGAAGCACTGTTGTAATGTTTTTAATTTTTTAAAATTGTTTGTTCTCCATGTAAGAATCTGAGCAACCCCTAAAAAATAACTCTAGGCTTCTGCAAGACCCTAGTCAATGACTAACTAGTGTTTCATTGTCCCCTTCCCTCCCTTCCCCCTACCCAGCCCCAGATTTCCCATAAGCCTTTTTGTTCTGTCTCTTTAACTGTTTTAATGTCTTTCTTTCTTTCTCTTCCTTCCTTCCCTCCTTCCTTCCTTTCCTCTCTCTCTCTCTTCCTTCCTTCTTTTCTCTTCTTTCCTCTCCTCTTCTTTTCTTTCCCTGGTTTATTTCTTCTTACCAAGGACTCGTAATTCCCCCAAATAATGTTGCCTGCATTCTGCAACACCAGAATACCAGAATTAATTAGGGTTTTAAGCTACACTGTGACTGTGGCTCCCCCCAGGTCGTTTCTTTCTCGGCCATTCCTGCAGGCTACAAGCTTAAATCTACCTGTCTGGGAGCCCCTGGGTGGCTCAGTGGGTTGAGCTTCTGCCTTCGGCTCGGGTTGTGGTCTCTGGGTCCTGGGATCGAGCCCCGCGTCGGGCTCTCTGCTCGGCGGGAGGCCTGCTTCCCCCTCTGCTTCTGCCTGCCTCTCCGCCTGCTTATGGTTTCTGTCTGTCAGATAAGTCAATAAAATCTTTAAAAAAAAAAAAAAAAAAAAAAAAAAAACCTCCCTGTCTACTCCAGGCATCACTAGAGAGGATGAAGGGGAAGGATTAGAACATGCCACGTGACTTTCCGTGGAGGGTTTCTTGGGCATGGATTCAGGCCAGAAAAAAAGCCGGAAGGGTTGAATGGTCTATGGGTGAGATTTCTAGAATCACAGAATGCTATGATCGGAATGAATGAACGTAGGTTAAGCCCCTCCTGTCATGAGTAAGGAACTGAAGAGAAGTTGTGTCCAGCAACACATAAAAATGATCTGTGGAGGAAAAAGCCAAAATAAATTTAGAAGTGGGAAGTGGTGACATGGAGTGTGAGCCCAAGTAGTGTCAGAGAGGAGAGAACGTTCGTGGAGGGACTGTTTGAACCCAAGCACATTCATGTAACTCTGAGCCTCAGGTTCTACAACTGCAAACCAAAGACTCTGGTAAAAGCAGACACTTCTGTAGTCTTGACTGTGCTAGGAACTATGCCAAGCACTTCCTCTGCTAACTCCTCTCATCCTTATCGCATCGATATGACGTAGGTCGCATTATTTCCCCCAACAACACTTGTCCACAGAAGGCCATATAATGTACGTAGAGTCTCATGGCTGACACACCTGTTTTCTTGTGCTGCTTTGCAAGTCACCACAAACGTCATGGCTTAAGATGCCACACATTTAATATCTCCGAGTTTTGTGGGTCTGGTCTCTGGGCACAGCATAACCCAGCTCCTCTGCTCAGGAGCTCACAGGGCAGCAAGGGAGGTGCTGCCCTGGGTTAGGGACTCATCTGAGGCTCGGGGTGCTCTTCCAAACTGACCTGATTTCCAGCAGAATTCTTTCCCTACAGCTGTGGTTATCTATGGCGGCTGAGTCTTCCAGGCCAGCGGGAGACTGTCTCAATCTTTGAAAGGTCTCGCCTGATTGGGCCAGGCCCACCCAAGATCATCTTTCTTTGGATTGATTCAGTGCCGGCTGGTCAGACGTCTTAATCTATCTACAGATCTCTTCATCCTTGCTGCGTGACATAATGTAAACGTGGGGGAAGTATTCCCTCACCTCTCCTGTGTTCTGTGGATTAGAAGTTGGTTACAGGTCTCCTCCACACTCAAAGGGAGCCTGGAGACCGAGGGGGCGGGAGTCCGAGAGCTGTCTTACAATTCCACCTTCCACGGCCTAGGCCCAGACGGACTCCGCCCAGTGTAGGAGGCCACCGCCTCAGCGTCCAAGCTCTTCACCATGAGAACAAAGTAGACCCACTTCACAACCCTGCATGGACTTCTGAGTAAGAAAACCCCCAGAAGACATACCACGCACTAAGCAATCATGAAGTCTCGTCCCACCCCTGTTTTCAAAGGTCTGCTTTCAAGGAAACCGTCACCACCTGCCGTTTTGTATTTGCAGGAGGAGATTTCCAAAGTCTCTCTAAAAACTCAGGTCATGTAAGTCGTTTCGAAGTGTTTATATTCTGAGCCAGAAATAACCTAGGGTTTGAGATTTGAGACTCGGATTCTCTTAAAAAAAAAAATAAATAAATAAATAAAAAGAATAATAATCAATAATAACCATAGCTCTGCTTTTTGTCTTGAAAACAGATGAAGTGATTGAGAAGAAACTGAACCGCTTCATTCTGCGGACAGGACAAGATGGATCAGCCGTTTACTGTGAATTCTCTGGTAGGTAGCGCCAACCCATACCTTCCATGCGGCCTGAAAACCCGAAAAGAAGAACAGAAACATATCACATGGGGAATGAGTCACCCTCCCTTCACGAAGTTGAGCACTTGTCGCTTCTTATCCATCTGTGCGGTCCCTGCTTTGAGGAAGTGACTAATAAAGCCCTCTTCGCTAGAACTAAAAATAATTCTTTTTGTCCACAAAAGTGCGAAATTTGAATCTCTCTGGTTAGATTCCAAGAGGGTGGGGGAGGGGCACTTGAGAATCGACACTGTAAGCAGGGACTTCAACCTTTGTGCCTTCGCTTCTTCAAGGAGAAGACCTGGAAGCTTCTCCGGTGTGGGAGCGACCGAGGGAGACATTCTACGTATGACAGGTCCATGTTGCTCTGGGATCCAGTGCAAAGGTCTGCACGCTCGAAACTCATTCTCCCTTCTCTGGCTACATCTTAGGAGGGATGACAGGAGCCCCGGGATCGCAGAGACATATTGCATGTCCTAGATCATTCTCTGGGTGAGAATGTAGGCACATTATGTAACCTCCATGGCCCCATTTTTCTACTTTGCACATTACAACCATTGGGAACAATATTTTTAATGTTCTCAGCCAATCATGGGGGCTTGATCAGGGGAAGCTTTTATGATCGTTAGCCTTCTCCTGATGGCCGGCACCTGCCCGTGCAAAGCTTTAGCCCCAGATCACAGAGAAATGGAGGGGGCACCCGCGTGGCTCAGTGGTTAAGCACCTGCCTTCGGCTCAGGTCATGATCCCAGGATCCTGGGATCGAGCCCCACATCGGGCTCTCTGCTCAGCGGGGAGTCTGCTTCTCTCTCTCCCACTCCCCCTGTTTGTGCTTGCTCTCTCTCTTTCTCTGTCAAATAAGTAAATCTTAAAAAAACAAAGAAAGAAAGAAATGGAGGGCCTGGTTCTTGCCCTGAAATAGGTTATGACCCACGTCCTCTTTGCCAGGAACGTCCTTCACAGAGGCTCAGTTGCTTTGAGAGGACGAGGAATGGAGAACTGTAGGAACTTACTCATTTTCCGACCCCATGCTGTCGGGGTGCTGTGGGGGGATAACGGCAGCCCCCTTTCCCAGCCACAGAGGAAGGGATCATCCTTTCGGCGCGTCTTACGTGTTTTCCAGAACACTAGGTAGCCATGATTAAAATGTTAGTAGACATGTCACTGTCAAACAAACACGAAGGCTTTTTCATTGGGAGATTTTTTATTTTGCAAGATATCTCACACCTGACTTTATACGAGGCTTTTTCTCCATTTACTTCTGAGATCACTTTTGAATTTGGAAAGGATAGGACCGTTCAACAGAGGAAAAATAAATCTTATTTTTACTTCCAAGTAAAATCTAGTTATAATCACAGTGCACCTGTTTCCTTCTTCCTCCTTTATTTGGTACATGTATTGATTATTGTCTGTGCCGCAAGGAATATGCTACATCCTGGGGGAACATGGACACTGCGTACAAATGATTATAATTCAATGCAGACTGTTTAGTAATAAAGAGTGGACCAATTACTTTTGCACGTGTAGGAACCTGGAAATCCTCTTTGGAAAATGCGCTAATTTCCATAGATTTTTTTTTTTTTTTTCCGATCATTTTCTAATGCCACTGACGCCTTTATCTGTGGTCGAATAGCAGCATTTTCCCTGAGTGCTGCTGGGAGCGGCAGGTGCGCGTGGCGTGGCTGCGTGTCCCGGGCTTCTCCCTTGGACAAGACGCCCGCACTCAAGCCTGAGGCTGACATGCCACAAGCTTCCATTCCTGCTTCCGAGGAGGGGAAGCCTCCAGAAGCTTCTCAGAAATTAGAAAGTCTTTTCGAAAACTGTAGGAGCAGCCCAGCAGGGTCTGGCTAGAAGGAAGTGTGCCTTCGTGTAAGGTGAGGTCCTGGAGGCAGGGCTGGGTGCTGTGTGCAGTCATACCTCCCTGTTCTCACGATTCTGGACCAAGTGAGAATTGATTGAAGATGCCGCGGTTGAAAATCCAGTGTATGCTTTATTCTTTATCACTTGGTCCTGGAGACAGACTCCGGGAGACTCGCAAGTCTCCTTATCCCTTCCGCTCTAAATTGAACTTGCCACCTTGTTGCAGGAGGGATCGCTGGAGACTTCCGGGCTAGGAAGCCCAGGCCCTGAGGACCCCAGCCTCCTCGGAGAGAAGGAAACAGGGAGGAGAACAGATTTATGCCTCTGTGGTTGGTTGTAGATTTTACCTTTAGAAACAAGAATCAGGGCGCCTGGGTGTCTCAGTGGGTTTAACGTCTGCCTTCGACTCAGATCATGGTCTCAAGGTCCTGGGATGGATCTGGTCATGATTGCAGGGTCCTGGGATCAAGCCCCGCCATCGGCTCTCTCAAATAAATAAATAAAATCTTAAAAAACAAAAAGAAAAAAATAATAATTCCAGGTCTCTAGGGTTCTGTCTGCTACAGAATTACCACCACAGTGGCCCCCTCCCCAGGCATGGAAAGAGCTATACACACGGGACTCTGTAGCCTGTCCTGATGGCTTGGATCCATCCTTCCTGGCCAGACTAAAATCCATTCCACCTGGATTTCTTTTTTAACTTTCTACAGACCTTTTAATCAAAGGTGCTGCCCTTGACTGACAGAGGCAGTTCCGGGAGCTAAATTTGCCCTGGGCTAATTCCATTCCTGTTGCTCAAAGGATGCTAGAGGGGTCTAAGGCAGCATTTCCCAAACGGGGGCAGCATGCGGCAGTGCCTCGGGGAACCTAAGTTCAACCCTGGGTTCTTCAAGCCCGCCTCTAATCTGTAGATGCCAGGGGAGGCCTGTGGGAGTTTTTTTTTAAACATTTGTTAAAGGTTTTATTTATTTACTGAGAGAGAGAGAGAGAGAGAGGGAGGAGAGAGAAAGCAGGAGCAGAGGGAGGGGCAGAGGGAGAAGCAGGCTCCCCGCTGAGCAGGAAGCTGGACTTGGGGCTCCAACCCAGGACCTGGGACCATGACCTGAGCTGGAGGCAGACACTTAACCCACTCAGCCACCCAGGCACCTGGGGACTCTACTTTTAAGAAACTCCCAATTGATGCTGATATTGCAGATGCATAGAGTGCACTTGGAGATACAGTGGTCTAGAGCTGGGGTCAGCAGACTGTGGTCTGAGCGCCAAAGTCACGTACTTGTTTTGAAAACATTTTTGAAACCAGAACCAGGATCCTTTGCTTACATGTTGTTTGTGGCTTCTTGTCCCTCAGCAGAGCTAAGTAGTTGTGATGGGGACTCTAAGGTCTACAAAGCCCCAAATATTTGCTCTACAGCCTTTAAAAGGAAAAAAAAACGTTGACTTTTTTGCCTTTCCAAAGCACTGACCTTTTTCGCTGAATCACGGAAAAATTACCCTGGCTGCATACGTTCTGTGTTTTCCCAAATGTGTACAGACGCTATTTTCATGAATAAAATACAAATGTATTGCCTTAACATCACTGACTTTTTCTTAGTAATGATTTCCATTATTTTCTCAGTCAGGGACTAATTAACCGTGCCTGTTAATGTACTCCATTATGTGCAGGTCCAAGAGTCTTTTTATGTCAAAAAGAAATGGGAGGTATCCATGGGCTTGAAGAGGACTTACTGGTGGGGTTTCATTCACTGGGTGAAGAAGCACAGAGGTCCTAAAAGCTTCTTATTAAACGGGATATGTTCTGGAAGAGAATTGAATCAAAGAGTAGCTTCGAATGCAGGCCATGTCTTGGAGACACTTCAGAGGGAAAGGACGTGAGCCCTACCCAGGCAAGAGTCTGCCTGTTGTCCTGCTTCACATGGGCCAGAATGGGAATAGCCATGAAGACACAAGGCTTAGTGATACTTTACTTAAAATGACCTAAAACATTTGCATACCCAGGAACTGGCACAGCATAGTACCCTGAAACCTAAAAGGAGATTTTGCCCCCAACACAAAGGTGTGTTTATCCTAGAGATGCTTGTCTTTTTGGTGTGAAGCCCATGTGTTTCTGCCCAAAGATTTCACTTTCATTGTTACCACGGACTCTTACTAAACGCCTTCCTTAGGTACTGGTGTCGGGGATTCAGTACAGAAAATACACCTGTCATTTCAGTCCTGTTCACTTCCTATGTCTACTCAGAGATTCCATTTTTGCTTTGCAGAAAAAGTTAGCTGCTATGCCTGACCACACGGATGTTTCCCTGAGCCCAGAAGAGCGAGTCCGAGCCCTCAGCAAGCTCGGGTGTAACATTACCATCACGGAAGACATCACTCCACGCCGTTATTTTAGATCTGGAGTGGAGATGGAGAGGATGGCGTCAGTGTATTTGGAAGAAGGAAATTTGGAAAATGCCTTCGTCCTTTATAATAAATTTATAACGTAAGTCTTTTTTTGGGGGGGGGGTCTTTGAAATGAGAAAAATGGGGGAAAATATTTACGTGCTATTTCAGCGAGATGGTTTGGACTCCAGGAATGTTTTCATATTCAGGCCAATTTTGCAATCTCCAAAAGCATTAAATGTCCCAGGTGTTTGAGTTACCAAGTAATGTGTTCAAAGGCATCCCCGAAGCATCCCTGAGGCTCAGGCATGGAGGGAGACTCAGGGACTTGAAAAAGTCTCTCAGTAGCGCAGTGTAGTGACCTGCATGTGCCTGTCTTTGGCACTCTTCCCAAGAATATGTCTTGTTTTGTGCCGTCCTCCCCCCATAGGAATGTAGGCTTCGTGAGAGCAGGAGCCACATTACAGCTCTGTCCACAGCGCCTGGAACAGACCATTAAGGGTTTTAAAATTTGACTTGTTGGCTGGGGATAGGGAGAGTTATAAGAAGATCTGACTCAGGGATAGAAAGCTGCAGTCAGAGCGCCTGGATGGCTCAGTGGGTTAAGCCTCTGCCTTTGGCTCGGGTCATGATCTCCGGATCCTGGGATTGAGTCCCGCATCCGACTCTCTGCTCAGCAGGGAGCCTGCTTCTCCCTCTCTCTCTTCCTGCCTCTCTGCCTACTTGTGATCTCTGTCTGTCAAATAAATAAGTAGATAATCTTTAAAAAAAAAAAAAAAAGAAAAAAAGAAAGCTGCAATCAGTTTCACTTTGTAGTTAGTATTTTTCTTTAAGATTTATTTATTTATTTGAGAGAGAGAGTGGGAGGAGGCAGGGAGACAGGGAGAGAGAATCTCAAGCAGTCTCCCCACTGAGCTTGGAGCCCCTCCCCGGGACTCGATCCCAGGACCCTGAGATCATGACCTGAGCTGAAATCAAGCTGCGACCACTTAACCAACTGAGTCACCCAGGCACCCCTACTTAGTATTTTTTTTTTTTAAGGCAATTTATTGGGACACCTGGGTGGCTCATTCGGTTAAGTGTCTGCCTTTGGCTCAGGTCATGATCCCCGGGTCCTGGGATCAAGTCCTGCATCAGGCTCCTTGCTCAGCGGGGAGCCTGCTTCTCCCTCTGCCCCTCCCCTCTGCTCATGCTTGCTCTCTTTCTCTGTCTCTCAAATAAATAAATAGAATCTATTTAAAAAAAGAGGCAATTTCTTTATCTTTACAATAGTGCTATATATAAAAGAGACTCAAACTGTTGAAAAAATACCCTACTTTCCGTCAGACACATGCTCGTTACTGACATATTCCTGAAACCCGTACTCTGATTTTAATTAAAAGTCACATGATGATTGACGTCCCTCGTTCAGTCAAGGACCTAACCTGAGAACTTCTGAGAAAGCCGATGGCTGGCAACGCTCAGCCTACCTGGGGAAACCACTGGTTTCTAGAGCGCTAACAATCAATACGAAATTGGAAGCTGTTCGACATCAATGATAGCACACATATCCCAAAACTTTGATCTCTGAACTCTAAGTCACCATTTGCTAAAATTTCTGTTTTGCCTTCTGCTGGTGTTTTTCATCCATGTTCATGGAGGGGGCCATCGATGGTAAGTAAGTAAGTGTGGTAAAGCAAATGGCCCCTCTACTGTCTGCGTTAGCGAGTCACTGGAATGTTGGAATTCCCTTCCGTCATTTACCACGTGGAAATTTGTAATTCTCCTCCCCGTGGGCCTCAGCTCCTTATTACAAATGGAAGATGTAAGGCAGAAATCTCTCTTACCTCCAAATGGAAGACTTCTCTAAGCTCTCTTCAACTCCCAACGTTTGTGCCTTTATTCCATTTAGAAAGAAGAGTGACTTTAGGCAACTAACAATTTATGTAGCTTCCTTAAACCGTAATTTTCTCACCCAAGAAATGAGCTATTTTACCATCCCCATGCCCCTGTAGGGCAACGTGACAAGAGCATGTGTGATCTGTGAGCGAGAGGACACCAGTAATTATAAGGTTTTGCATATCAGTTGATCATAAATAGTATTGATAGCCCATCATGGTCTATCAAGGAAGGACTTTTTGTTTATTTAACAAATATTTACTGAGCACACATCATGAGCTGGACATTAGTCTATGAGCTAGGGAGACATCAGTAAGGGAAAAAATAAAACAACCACCACCAACAAAAACCAAGAATTCCCTGCCCTTTGGAAAGCAAAATCTTCATTTTACATGGAAGTGGTGAATCCGGTTTGGTCTAAGGATTTCCCTTTACCTCTGCTGCCCCTTCTTCCTCAAAAAGGTGAGGAAAAATAATGAATTCCTAATTAGCACCTCCTTGGATCCACTGGGAATTCTGACGTCATTTCTCTCAGCCGTGAATTTTCAGTTAAGAATTTTTGCTATCAGGGCGCCTGGGTGGCTCAGTGGGTGAAGCCTCTGCCTTCGGTCAGGTCGTGATCCTGGGGTCCTGGGATCGAGCCCCGCATCATGCTCCTTGCTTCTCCACCCACTCACGTTCTCCCTCTCTCTCTCACACACACATAAATAAATAAAATCTTTTAAAAAATGAATGTTTGATATAGACGCACAGACACGATGGCACTCCTGACTCATCAGTGGTCCTTTGAGTCTTTCTCAACTGTGAAAAGGGATTATGTTGATCTTTCTAATTCTCAACATTTTTACAAGATCCTCTGTGTCGCCGGCAGGGCGCACGAGAGAGCTAGGGCTCTGGCGGATCGGGCACCCAGGACCCAAGAAGGACCAAAGTGACAGGGTCTGTTAGGGAGGGTCCTGAGCCTCTTAACCTCAGCGCTCCAGCCACCGAGCTTACTACCCTGGAATGCCAAAACCATGTTCTTGCCAGCCCTCGGTGGAAAGGCTGATGGAAAGAATGTAGGTTAAATAATAATGGATTAAGCATGTCCTTTTTGAAAAGGAGTTTCCTTCTCGTATTAGAAACCGTCACTGATGGGGGCACCTGGTTGGCTCAGTCAGTTGAGCATCCAGCTCTTGATTTTGGCTCAGGTCATGATCTCAGGGTCGTAGGATCGAGCCCCGCACTGGTCTCCACACTCAGCAGAATCTACTTCTCTCCCTCTCCTTCTCCTACTGTCCTTCCCCCTGCTCATGCATGCTCTCTCTCTTTCTCTCTCTAAAAATGAATAAATAAAATTTCTAAGAAAAAAGAAACCATCGCTGAGCTTTTTCTGTCCTGTAACGCTAAGATGTACTTTCTCTTCTAGCTTGTTTGTAGAAAAGCTTCCCAGCCATCGAGATTACCAGCAATGTGCAGTCCCAGAAAAACAGGATATTATGAAGGTATTGTGGGGTCGATTCTCCCGCGGGGGATCAAATGCTCCATACATCTCCATTATCGATCTCCTCCTCCACTGTCCCTCCCTTCCTCTCATCCTCTGGAGAGTTTGGGCAAAGAAAATTGATTCCATTAGCCAAGCAAGATGTTTCGATTTCTTCTTGGAACCTTTAAACATTGTTACAGAGCCAGTGTGGGATGTCTAATTGGAACTGGAAGGGGCAGAAAAGGAAAATGATCAAGAATGTGCTCAATCTCTTTGTGGTGTGAAGACAGCATTATTCCCTGTTCCTCCCAGGGATTGGAAAGAAAGGTGGTCCAATTCCCCAGATTTGTATGAGAGTCATTTTGGCTGGTTTTGATTCTTCCATACAGTCCTGAACCCCAAAACTGAAAATTAGTGTTGATTATTAAAGTGGCCCCCGAAGTTCTAGTTCTTTTCTTGTACTACCTGGAAAAGCAGGCTATTATGAAGGTATTATGGGGTACTAGCTTAAGGCATAATCAAGTGTTTAAGGGTAAGCGGAGGCTTGAAATAGTCTCAAGGAAAAGGAAGACAGTTCCTGAAAAGTTATGTATTTGCCATCAACCTTGGCAACCTGATATAGCAAACGGTATTTTTAGCTGAGAATATATATCCTTTTAAATAACATTTTTAAGATGTTTCCTATGTACCTGTGTTACGTAGTTTGGGTTGATCTTACATGGAGGAAAATAAAATGGTATATACAAAGCCAATCACAACATGAAATTTTAAGTAACTCTCCAAAGATGCTTGACCATCTAATAGAGAAAAGGCTGTCTTACCAGTAAGTCTGGCCTGAGGCTGCCTGTAAGAACTCAGGTTTTGTCAAATGGTCATCTACATTAAAAAAAATTTTCTGTACACCCTCATCTGAAGGGCCACTCACTGCCATTCCTTGTGTAGCAATTTCCATGGAATTCTCTTGTTCATTCAGACTCAGGCTGTTCTATATGGGACTTGAGGGGGCCCAGCTGCCAAGCTGACTCTTTTGCTCTGATTTAGTTTTATTCTTATTTTTTTTTTCTCATGGGAAACCATTCTCCAAAATCATATACATTTTCTTTGTTTATGCTTGCTGAATAAATGGATGGATGGGAGGATGGATGGGAGGATGGATGGATGGGAGGATGGAGGATGGATGGATGGGAGGATGGATGGATGGGAGGATGGATGGATGGATGGATGCGAGGATGGGAGGATGGATGGGTGGATGGATGGATAGGAGGACGGATGGGTGGGTGGATGGATGGATGGATGGTTGGATGGATGAGTGGATGGATAGGAGGATGGATGGGAGGATGGATGGATGGGTGGATGGATGGGAGGATGGATGGGTGGATGGATGGATGGATGGATGACAGAAGATTAAAAAAATAGAAATTTCAGTGAAAGAGCCTGGTCAGAGTCAGAACATTTGGATTCTAGTCATAATGGGGCCACTAGCTAGTTGTCCTTCTAATCTCTATAGGCTTTGTTCCCTCATCTCTGAAATGGAGGGTGGTACTTCGGCTAAATCAGGTTCCCCAGATTTTCTGGCCATTAAGAAGAATCACTGAGAATTTGTTTGAGATCCACATTCCCTAACCCCTTCCCTAAACCTGTGGGTTCGGGGGAACCTGGAGGAGGCCTGGGAATCTGTATTTGTATGCACAGTGCCTTAGCCTCTTTTTTATAGTCAAGCCCAGCAGTCCCTACCTACCTTCTCCAGTGTCCCTTCCAACTATGATGCCATAAAATTTGCCCACAGTGGAATGTGCAGTTACAAGCCCACTGCTTAAAAACGGGGCTACCTCCCTAGACAGAATGCTTATCTAACTAGTGGAGTCCATGGAGCTCTTACAAAAGGGATAATGGTTTCCCTTCCCTACTGAAAAGTTGTGTTTTGGAGCCATAGCGAAGAGAGGTTTCTATGTCCACCATCATCTTTGGTTACTCGTGTCTTGATTTCTAATACACATGGCAGCCGTTTTTCTTTCTCAGCTGATGATCTGAAAGACTATACTGAGAATCCCACTAATCAATGTGTATATATATATTTTTAAAAGAAACTGAAGGAGATTGCATTCCCAAGGACAGATGAATTGAAAAAGGACCTTTTAAAGAAATATAACGTAGAATACCAAGAATATTTGCAAAGCAAAGTAAGTTCCATCGGTACATTTATCTCGTGACTGTTTTTTGTGTGCAGATATTTTTTTGAATTTCATGTTCATGTGAGTTTTTTGAATGTCATGTCCATTTAAATTAAAAATTAAAGACGCAGTGATGTAAAAGCAATAAAAAATTCATGTTGAGATACAGGTTAAGCACTTGCACCAAAGATGTGGTATCTTTATTTCCCTGCAACATCTAATCATGTGATGCATTGGAAAACAAATTTCCTACAGTGATTTTAAAGGCAGCTTTTTGACCAACTCTTGCCACTTTAACCTTAAGACAGATGACCTCTCTTTGGTGACCAACAGAGTCAGTAGGAGATAGGGAGAACAGTATATAATTTCTGATTTATCTTATTATGTAGGCTTTGGAAATATGAATTCAATTCTTCAATCTTAGAGTCAATATTACGTTGAGAGGAAGTAATAGCTAATCATGTGAGGAAAATGTAATCGTATCCCCAATGGATGGATGGTGGCTTCTGGATCATTATTACAGAAAGAGTAGCAATGGTAATGATGTCTAAGAGAGGAATGGCATTAAGAGAAAAAAAAAATCAATCCATCTCTAGGACCTCAAGTTCACAACTCGAATTCTTAAAGTCTTTAGCATTGTTATAAAAATTGCTTTGCCTTTCTTGTTCGATTGTGTATTTATGTGCTTTGGAATTATCACCCGTTCTGACTCTCGATGGAGTTCAGTCTTGTGAGCTCTGAATGTGGCCCAGGGACCTTCCAGCGTCCCATGGGCGTAGCTGGAAATCAGTGTTGAGTGAAGCCTTTGGACCAAGGGACTGAGGGAATGTGGCAGTCTGAACGTTCCCTCAAGTGCAACTCTTGATCATTTGGATTTGACTTGAACTATGATACATGAGAATGATCTTGGACGCTCAGACAAACCAACAGCAAAGGAGAGAAAAGCCCAGGCCAGTCTTTGTCCCGTCAGCAACACACCTGGGGTTGTCCTCCCAGGGTCTCCCAGGAAGGGACTGCCTGGTCTACCTTTGAAGACACCAGTTTGGTCCCAGGTGGCAACAGTGTCCCAAAGTATAGGTCATGGAGAAATCTCTGTAGAGATAGAGTGGCAGCCTTTACGCTGGAGAGATGGTCATGCCCATCAATGAGCCTTTGCTGTAGCCAGGACAGGCATCACTGGGAGCTTTTTAGAAGCGCAGACTCTCATGACACGCCCCACTCCTGCTGGGTCGGCTTCTGCACTTCTGCCCAGACTCTGGGGGATTCATGGGCACCCCCAACGTGTGCTGTAAGCTGTACCCCCACCCCAACCCTACCAAAGCTACTTTTTCTCAAAACAACTTGAGGGGCTTATTAAAGATTTGTAGTCTCTAATCTAATAATGCCTAGATTTTTTTTTTTAAGACTGGGGAGCCTGGGAATCTTCATTTTAACAAGTTCCTGACTCATCCTGATGGAGATGATTGTACCACATTTTGAGGACCGTTTCCTTGTGGTTCCCCCTTCTCCGTAAAGTTCTGGCTGTCTGAGTTCTAGAGTCTAGGGCAAGAGGTTCTAGGGCAACACTGACCAACAGAACTTCCTCCCGTGGTAGAAATGTTCCGTGTGGGAGCCGCTAGCCACATGGTATTAAAAGGTGGCTGGCAGGGAGGACTGCGGAACTCAGTGTCTAATGTCATTTCATTTAAATTTAATTTAAACGTAAGTAGCCCTCGGGGCTGGGCATTACCATATTGGACAGTGAAGTCTAGAGCGACAAAACCATTTCTGAGATGGTCCGCTCTGGTTCTCGGTCAGGCAGGCCAAGTAACCAACCCTGACCTTGGCTTGCTGGTATTTGTTTAAAGCGCAGGGGAATGGAGGGAACTTGACTGTCGTGGCCCGCCCCTGGTAACATGAGTGGACTCAGAGCCCCTGCCTTGAGTAGACCAAGGGGCTATGGCGCCCGTGTCCCTGTGGGCACATGGCCTTGTCTGCCTCTCCGCCCCCGTCTAGCCAGGAAGGGTCTCATCCCCGCTGGCTGGGGTTGCCATGGAAACTAACCTCCTCCTATTCCGGCCACGGCCTTTTCCAGAACAAATACAAGGCGGAAATTCTGAAACAACGGGAGCATCAGAGCCTGATCGAGGCCGAGAGGAAGCGGGTGGCTCGGATGCGCCAGCAGCAGCTGGAGTCGGAGCAGTTCCTGTTTTTCGAAGACCAGCTCAAGAAGCAAGAACTAGCGCGGGGTCAGATGCGAAGCCAGGAAAGCCGGGCGCTGTCGGAGCAGATTGACGGGAGCGCTGTGTCCTGCTTGCCCGCGCCGAGGAACAGCGCGCTGCTGAACGTGCTCGCAGACCAGCCTCCGAGGAGCGAGGCGGCCCGGGATGCCGGCCACTCTCCTCCCGTGAACAGGGCTCTGAAGCCCGCGGCCGCTCTGAGCGCGGTGCAGAGTAAGTGACCGGCTGCCTCCCGGCTCCGTCCGGGGACCGCTGGGAGGGGCTCCTCTTCCCATCACCCGCGGGGGCAGTGCCGCGGCACGATGGGGTGTGAATTTCAGTGCCATCCTGCTCACCCCTCGTCCCCCGCAACCTTCACATTCAGGCAGCGTGATTTGCCCCCCATAGAGCACCAGCTTTCTCATAAACGGGGCCCTCTGGGGTCATGGGGCCGAGATTTGAAAAGAGAATTCCGAGCATTTTTTTTTTTTCATTCCTGTATTTTCACCAAAGAAACCACCTGAATCCTAAAGGGAAACACTTACACTGCAAAGAAGATGCCGAGAAAATGGTTGGCGCAGAACTTGGCTTAAAAACGTAAAAGTTTCACGTGTCGCTGCTGCAGGAGGGTCTGGCGCACAGGGGGTGGCCAACCTCCAGGCCGATTCTGTGCTTCCGCCAACAATTAGTGCAGCTTGGGGGCAACTCTGTGACCCCTGGCAAGGGCCCAAATCCAAAGGCAGACACTGTTGGATGGCGTCTTGTGTCCATTTATTTTAAAAGAGTTACGCTAGACAACCATTTTCTAAATCACCCCATCGCGAAGCTGGCACCTCCCTCTCGCTCATGAACCAGTTTATAGGCAAGGCAGAATTTTACCTTCCTGCGCCTTGATGCCCACTGTTAAGACTTTTAAAAAATAAAACACAGAAAGCGGAGCGCCTGATAATAATTTCATCTTTTTTGTTTCGATTGCCCTGCAGTTGCTTGCCAAAAACGGATCTGGTGACGGGGTGTGAGATTTGTTTCCTTAGCTGGTTCTTCCTTTCCTATTTCTTAGATCTAGTGGTCGAAGGACTGCGGTGTGTAGTTTTACCAAGAGACCTTTGCCACAGATTTCTGCTGCTCGCAGAATCTAATACAGTGAGAGGAATAGAAACCTGCGGGATACTCTGTGGAAAACTGGTATGGCCTTTGTTTCATGTCTCTCTGCCCATGATACGTTCTGACGTGGTGACTTTCTTACCATAAGCAAAACAGAATAAAGGCATCTTAAGATGCCTAAGATGGCAGCCTGAGATGCCATCCTAGGGCAGTCCATAATTGCAAAAATTATGAAGATGTCTTTATCTAGATTAATGAACACAAAACTACCGTCGTTTTTAATGGAATGATCCTTCTAGGAAATGGGTTGTAAAATTTTAGGGATACTATAAAAGCCTGTTATAGAGAATGAATCAAACCACATGCTAAACCTTTGTTTAGAAAAATAACTGTTTGGGGCGCCCGATTGGCTCATTCGGTTAAGCATCCGACTCTCGGTTTCAGCTCAGGTGGTGATCTCAGTGTTGTGAGCTCGAGCCCCAAGTCCGGCTACGTGCTCAGCATGGAGTCAGCTTGAGATTCTTTCTCTCCCTCTGTCCTTCCTCCCTGCTCTCTCTCTCAAATAAATAAACAGAATCTTAAAAAGAGAAAGAAAGAAAAATGATGGATTACAGGTCTCCAGATTTCCAATGCCATCTAGTTTTCTGAATCAGATTTCCACTGCAGTTGTTAGTTTCCCATATATTTATCTAATTAACTCTACCCATTCTGATCTGAGGTCAGATCAGAGGTCTGTCATCTCGCCAAACTTTTGCAGACCCGTGTGGAATAAAACTAGGATTCTCTTGTTTTCTTTGGTTTCATACAGTAGTTTCAACAAGCTGAAATCTTATGGCACAGGTCCCATTTACTTATGGAAGAGTCTATCAGAAATATGTGATGAAAGACAGTGTCAAAATAGAAGGGGGACCAAAGAGAGGAGATGAGTTTAGTTTGCTACTTGCAAGAAGGATGAAAAATGTCTTGTGGAAAGTGCCCTTGGGTCCAGGCACATTTTCCATCGCTTCATGGCTATGGTTTACTCAGCTCACATTCTCCCTACCACAGTTCCTTTCTGAGTATTCACGTGTCCTCCAGGAGAGAGGAAGCACAGATGACCAACACAGGAGCATGACCCACCATGTTCTCTCGGTCACCTTGTTTGTCTGTCAGGGGCAATGTGTTCTGGATACTTCCTCAAGACCATATATTGTACCTAGTTTGATTGATTGATTGATTCATTCATTCATTGCCTTCATCAGACAGACGTGTGCTGAGTACTTAGAGGTGTTGGCACTGCCCTTGGTGTTGGCATTCTGTAACCTCCAACAGCCATAGTCTTTGCCATACAGCGCTCACATCATGCCTCTGAAGGACCAGCCAGACGATCCCCAGTTGGGGGGAAAAGCCCTGAGACCAGAGAGAAGGCGGTGCTTGTGGAGGGCAGACCGCTCCTCCCAGCACAAGCATCTCCTCCCTGAGCATCCCATCACCTCTTCCCAGACCCCTTCCTTCATCTCTTCCCTTGACCTGAAGGGAGTATTATGTTTTTCCTTTTTCATTTTCTAAATGCAGACCCAAAGCATCACCTTAATTACGGAAGATCTCAGTGAGTTCCCCCAATGGCAGGAGACAAATTAGGTCTGGATGTGAAATGAAGTACAATGAATAAAATAAAGTACACAAGGCCATCAACCTCCACAAACCTTAGAAATGTCCTTCAGTAAATCCACAAAACCGTTTTACTGGTATCTCCCCCTCCAGATAAACCTGATGCTGTGTTTGGATCTCTTCCCCTGCACATGTACTGTATCGAGGCATCGTTTATTAACTGAACGATCATGGAGCAGCCTGGGAGGCGGACTCCTATTTGTTAAACATTTTCTTTTTTTTTTTTTCTTTCAAGATTTTATTTACTTGTTTGACAGACAGAGATCACAAGTAGGCAGAGAGAGAGAGGAGGAAGCAGACTCCCTGCTGAGTAGAGAGCCCGATGCGGGGCTTGATCCAAGGACCCTGGGATCGTGACCTGAGCCGAAGGCAGAGTCTTTAACCCACTGAGCCACACAGGCGCCCCTGTTAAACACTTTCTATCGTGAAAATAGGTTTTGAGGTCCAGAGAGCTGCCTCGCCTTTTTGGCAGATAACCCATTTTTAAGTGCGAGGCTCTGATTTTGTGGACGCAGGTTGTGGGGCACTCTCTAGTCTTCCTGCAAAACGCTATGCTTCCAGCTCGGGCTGTGTTTTTTTTGGTCCCCGTCCCCCGCCAGATGCTTGTTACTCTTTTTTGCTGATTGTTTTTTAGACGCATAATGAATTTACTATCACCCATGTGATCGTGCCAAAGCAGTCAGCGGGGCCGGACTACTGTGACGTGGAGAACGTGGAGGAGTTATTTGGTGTGCAGGACCAACATGGCCTCCTTACGCTGGGATGGATCCACGTACGTGTGAGCGTTGGGTTTCGATGTATCTCCCGTGGGGTGCTGCTTTCCTCCCTGAGGAAGTTTAGCTTCCTTTAAATCGTTTCTTCTTCTTGATTTTCTTTTCAAGTGGAATAAATGTCATCATAGTAAAGCATTCTCTCCAATGTTAGGCCATGTCTAAGTCTGTCAAGTCCAGATTTGGACAAGGCTATAGTATCCTTTTTTTCTTACCATCCAGCGTTAAAGGAGAGAGAAACATTTGGAAACTGGGTGACTTGCTTTTATGATTTTTTGTAGTCTAATGAAGACCTAGTCAGATTTTTGACTAATTTAACGAGACCGTTATTAATGTTCTCTTTCTCTTTGTCATGGGTCAGAAGTGGAATATTTTAAGAAAATTTCTAAAAATGTTTCTTTGAAACAGATGTTTTTATATATCAAACAGGGACCATAGATTTTTCCACGTCTCCCCAACAGGCCAAGGAGGAATTTATCACTACATAAACAGCCACGGTGGGGCCAAAAATACTGGGTTCCAACAACCCCTGGGCCATCATAGGAGCGAGAAAGGGCTTACTAATTAAAAGCCATGAGTTTAAATCTCAGCTCTGCTAAAAATTCCTTACAGGAATGTTGGTAAATTATGTAAGCAATCTGGGCATCAGCTTTATCATCCACAGAACAGATGTCATAAGAATTGACTTCCTGCAGTGGTTTGCGTTAAATGAGATAATGCCAGTGAATTTCATAGCACATTTTTCTAGGAACTCAGAAAATCGTGGCCACTGGTTTTGGCAATGACGCTCAACTTTTCCTATCCGTGGTTCAATCAATTTTTCCATTCAGTCTTTTACATGTGGACCTGGGGTAGGAATAAATCATCCCACTATCATGGGATGATGGCCAAGATTTTCAGAGAGAATGTGGAATAATTCAAGGACCCTTGAAGAGAGATGGGTGGCCATTTTTCATTTTACTTGCTTCATAGGGATGTACTGAAGAGGGTCGGGACACATGCTTAGATTCTCCTACCCTCCCCACACACAAAATCAGCAAGCACTTGGTGTTAACGTAATTTCAGAGATAGAGGAGACCTTAGTCCCAGCTCCACCTAGGTTCTTTTTTTTTTTTTCCCCAAGATTTTATTTATTTATTTGAGAGAGAGAGAGAGAGAAAGAGCATGAGCAGGGAGAGGGACAGAGGGGGAGGGAGAAGCAGACTCCTTACTGAGCAGGGAGCCAGATGTGGGGCTCGATCCCAGGACCCCGAGATCATGACCTGAGCCGAAGGCAGAGGCTTAACCCACTGAGCCACCCAGGAGCACCAAATCTTGCATTTCTTTAGCAGACCATAGTTAAGTGCAAAGGCATGAAGCTGTTTTTATGGGTCCGTGCCCTTTAGATAATAATGACAATATTGGGGCACCTGGGGGGGTTAAGTTGGTTAAGCCTCCAACTCTTGGTTGTGGCTCAAGTCACGATCTCAGAGTTGTGAGATCAAGCCCCACGTGGGCCTCTGTGCTCAGTAGGGAGTCTGCTTGAGATTCTCTCCTTCTCCCCATGGCCCCCATCTCAAAAAAAAAAAAAAAAAAAGACAGTCTTAAAATAATAATAGCAGGGGCGCCTGGGTGGCTCAGTAGGTTAACCCTCTGCCTTCGGCTCAGTCATGATCTCGGGTCTTGGGATTGAGCCCCGCATCAGGCTCTCTGCTCAACGGGGAGCCTGCTTCCCCCTCCTCTCTCTGCCTGCCTCTCTGCCTACTTGTGATCTCTGTCTGTCAAATAAATAAATAAAAACTTTAAAAAAAATAACAACAGCAATAACCCGGGGAATAACTGTGATTCTTCTCTGTGCTAGGCACTGTTGTAAAAATTTTACAGGGATTGTCTCATTAATTTTAATGTAGCAACCCCATGAAGAAAATGATTACTGTCCTTATTTTAAGGCTGATGAAATGGCATGAGGGGGTTAAATAATCTTCTCGGTGTCATACAGCCAGTGAGCGATGGGTCTAGGACCCAGGCGGTACACCCAAAGACCTTGGTTTCATGATTAAAGTGGTCACATTCCTTTCTCAAGGGTAACTGAGGTTGACTGTGAATTTTAAAATCACGTTGGGTGCATGTGTTTTTCCTATTCGAGTGTGAACGTCCGATGTGTCTCTCGTGAACAAAAGCTTGTTTATAGCCCAAAACCTGGAAGATACAGCTCTCGGTTTATAATCTCCCCCTTCCTTCTCATCATATGGGTATTTCCTTGCTGTGGAGGATGAGTCCCACACGCCTTCGACACCCTGGAGAGTTCTGCTCTCCCATTTGTAGGCAATGATGATCCACGGGAGGACACACAGGAAAATGGGGTAAATTCACAGTAAATGTTCCATTCGTGTCCGTGGTTTTATATAAATTATCTCTGGGCTCCCTCGGGTTCCCGTGTGTGGAATTAAGATGCCAACAGGAGCGTCTCCTAGCTGTGACGCAAGTCTCTTTAATTAATCCCCAGTCCTGTCTGTCCTAATAAGCAGAAAGCGCATGGACACTTCCAGGAGCCTCTTCTCAGGCTCGTGGTTATTCCCAGGGTACATGAGGGGAGGGATTATGCCAGGGACACAGTTTTTTAAATCCTGGTTTTATTAATCAATGATGGTAAAAAAAAAGAAAAAGCCAGCTGTGAGAGATTTCTCGAATGGGCTGCGGCCTCGGCGAAGATGAGTCTTCCAGTAAGACTGTCCTCTTCTCCGTTTACAGACACATCCGACCCAAACTGCGTTCTTGTCCAGTGTTGATCTCCACACGCACTGTTCCTATCAGCTCATGCTGCCGGAGGCGATCGCCATTGTTTGTTCACCAAAGCATAAAGAGTAAGTGGCCCTGGGGACCGGGTCCAAGTGAGGCATTGTCTGGGGCTGGTGGGTTCAAGTGCGTCCACGTGGCAAGGGGTGGCACTTGGACAGGCAAGCACCCCGTACCCTCGGGAGGCAGAGCTTGGTGCCATCCAGCTCCCTTTTACCTTTAGCTCTGTAGTCATAGGGTTTTTAAGGTCCTTTCATAGTAGAATTACCGGATCTCTTTACTTAGGGAACATGATCTCCAAGTGGATAAGCGGGACGTTATTTCAGTTGGCCTTTTGAGTTCCTCATTCTCCTGTCCCGCCTCGTGTTGTAAGAAAATTTCCAGCTTCCATTTAATGACCTCCAAAGCCTTTCTAGATTTGGGAGACAATGATTATGAGAGAGTGATGATGAGCAGAGGAGTCAGACACACTTAAGAGTGGAATCCTGGCTCCAGCTTCAGATGGCATGTGACTGGCAGGATTACTGACCACTATGACCCTCAGTCTCTTTATCCTTGACACCTGCCCATCCGGACTGATGTGAAGAAGATCCTGAATGGCAGTCTGTAGAAAGGGCTTAGCAATGGTGTCTGGCCCCACAGTTAGCACTCGATAAATATTTGCTGTTTCTTTAAACAGTGTCTGTGTTATTAGAAAAAGTAGAAATATCTGCCACCTGTCATTTCCTCCCATGGCCCCTCCGTTTTGCATTCCGGTCTCATGGGACAAGTTCAGCTGCCTCTTCCCCATTGCAGCCCAGCAGGTGCATGGAGTTGGCTTTGGCCCCTCGGGAGTTTCTCTCCACTGGGCCACTTATTGCAAAACTGGTTTAAAAGATCACTGTGGAGGGGTGCCTGGGTGGCTCAGTCGGTTAAGCATGCAACTCTTGATTTCAGCTCAGGTCGTGATGTCAGGGTGGTGAGATCGAGCCCTGCATCAGGCTCTGCACTGAGCGCGGTGTCTGCTTAGGATTCTCTCTCCCTCTCCCCCTCTGCCCCCCGCCTCCCAACCCTCCCCCCACTCTCTCCGGAAATCCAGATGATCTTTAATTTTTCCACTTTTTGTTTCCACCCCGGGACAGCACCGGCATTTTCCGGCTCACCAATGCCGGCATGCTCGAGGTTTCTGCTTGTAAAAAGAAGGGCTTTCATCCGCACACCAAGGACCCCAGGCTGTTCAGTGTGAGTAGACTGTGCTGGCTATTTTCTTTTTTCTCCAGATACTTATTTTCCACATGTTCCTTTCCCCCCCAACCCTTGAAGGAGAGAAGCAGCAGCAGTGTAATATGGGATAAAACACTGCTTAGTTTGGGGTTTTCTTATCCTGAAAATTCAGCAAGCTTTCAGTTACTTCTGATTTCTTTGCATGATTATTTTATTTACAAGAGAATGCCAGTGTTTCTGTAGCACAGTTCATTGTGCATAAAGTTGCCTTTCCATTTATGGATCTGTGGGATAATTAAAGAAATGCAGTTTTCCTCAGACTTCAACTAAGCAGACAATGAAAGAAAATGATATTTATTTTCTCATGAATTCTTTCCACTCGATGTGGCCAGATTAATTTTGTCATAACAGTTCATTGGAAACTGTAATCATCCTTCTGGGGTAGCCACAGATAGCCCCAAAGAAACACCATTTGACTATATCTTTTCGTTCTAACTGCTTGCCTGGTGGTTCTCCAGCAGTAACATCAGAGAAACATTGCTTTGAAGTTAGAATCTACTTAAAGCGACAATTAACTTGGCAACCTACGTCCGTGTGTTTTTGCTAGAAATGAATCAGTCCGATTCTCTCTTTTCCGATCGGAAACATCTTCAAAATTAGAAATGTTTTTAAGTTCGGAAGTCCATATTCCCTTTCTTGTGGAGAAACAGGGTAAACATCATGATGTAAAACCAGTTTTTTCTCACCTAGATATGCAAACATGTGTTGGTAAAAGACATAAAAATAACCACACTGGACCTGAGGTGATGTGTTCTGAAGACGAGCGCCGTCGACACGACACGTACCCGTGGACGTGCGGTAGCCGGATTTTCTTAACACGTTTCCTGAAGTGACTGATATTTTATATTTATACATTTTAGATCAGAAAGTTTGATATTTATTGTTCTTGCCCACTTTGAAGTTTTCTTTTTGGGTTGCTCTGTCTCCGGAGAGGTCACCGTTGTGTTACGTCAATAGTGTGAATCCCCCAGATACAACAACCACACAATAAATAATGCTGCAAACAACGGTATGTCTGGTGTTCGGAGAGGCCTCTGCGTCTGTTTTCAGTTTTCAACGCTTTGCTGTATTTTCTTCCTTGTTCCTATCAAAGGCAATTCCAAACAAGAGATCCTGAGTGCTCGGGGGTCTCCCAGCCTGGCCGTCGGGTCCTGCCACCCTTCCTATGGTCGAAGATGGGCAATTACCACATGGGAGAAGACACCTGGCTGCACACAGGAGAGCCGTCTGGCGTTCAATGTCAAGCTCAGAGCTTTGTGAGCGGCCGATACCAAAACAGTGAGCTTCTACTCAGGGAGCAGATGCCAAAGGGCTTGGGGGAGCAGACAATTCATTAACTTGATGGAGAGGAGTCAGAGCAGGGACGCTTGCGGAGAGAAGAATGAAAAAAGACTCAGATAAAAGCATACAGCTTGTTACTGTGAAACTTAATAGGGGTGATGGGGAGAAGAAATGAGGTATAGGAAATAACTGATAATTCTCAGCCCAAGAGAATTAAAAAGAAAATCACTTGCAAAGTGCACTTGCAATGAAAAGCATCTAGCTATAAATCAAGGAACAGGGAACATGAAGAGAAATACCTTTAAGCTGAGTAAGGTGACATAAAGACAACATTACCGAGGCTTGGACTGGGGTTTGCGGTGGGTATCTGGATAATCCAAGCTTTTACCTGGATCAAAGGCAGGGAGGAATGGGAGGTTTGTGGACTATGTTGGTTGAATTAGGAGGAAAAACATTGTGGAGACAGAATGTGACTGTCTTCAGAGGTAGAACGTTTAAAGAGGTAATTAAGGTAAAATGAGGACACTAGAGGGCCCTCATCCCATCTGGCTGGGATCCTTATGTGGAGGAGAGATGAGGAGGCCAACTCAGGGAAATCGAGAGGGGACACAGGGAGGTCTTCTCTGTCTGGCCATCTACAAGGAAAGCTGCTTCCAAAGAAACCAGACCTGACCACACCTTGATCTCAGACTTCCAGGCTCCAGAGCTGTGAGAAAATAAATTTCTTCCATTTAAACCACTCTACCTGTGGTATTTTATTATGACAGTCCACCAAACTCATACAGTACTTAACATTTAGTGAGGTTGTTTTCTTTTGTTCTCACGGACAGAACTGGAAACAACTTTCTCTGTTGTCCTGCAGAAATTACTGTCTTCTCCACAGACCTTGTCAGTTATCGAAGAGCAAGGTGGGTTGTGTGTGGGTTGTGCTCAGCTCCTAAAGTGGCTCCTGGATTCTTGTGAGAAGTGTTTTGTTTGTGGAACGATCGGCATATATTTGAGATGCGGTGGCAGCGAAGGCCATATCCCAGGGTTGGCTCCATGTCTCCCCCTGCTTCATCCCACGCCACAGACACGCAGGTCGTGCTGGGAAGACTGTGGTATTTCAGTTGCTTGGACTGAGACGAAGGTTTTTGTTGGGGAACCAGCCACAGTGGCCCCAACACGTGGAAAGCAGCTGTTTCTCACTTGGCGCGTCTGACAGAATTATGTAGCCGGAGAGTGTTTTTAGGGGACGAGGATGCTTGAGGAATGTCATGTGTTCGGCACCGATCAAGGAAGAAAGGAATACGTTCAGCTCCTTGTTCTTCTTAGAATTTAGCGTGTTATTTGTCATGAAGACAACAAATATGCAAAAAACTCTTTGTTCCCTCAAGAAACGTGTTTCCTTTTCTAGCATCTTGGCTCTTCATGAGGCAAGAACATCTTTTCCTTGGGGACAGCCACATTAGTGGCTCTGAGAGATTCGTCTTACTGATGTCCAGGAGGACTCTTTCTTTTAGTTATCAAAAGGCATGTCTTTGTTTATGTTATTCTGACTAAAATACCACAAACTGGGTGGCTTAAACAACAGACATTTATTTCTCTCAGTTCTGGAGGCCCAAAGTCTGAGGGAAAGCCCACACGTTCGGGCTCTGTGTGGGGGCTCTCTCCAGGTTTGCGGACAGCCACCTTCTTCGGTGTCCTCACATGATGGACAGAGCTCATCTCCCCCGAGTCTCTTCTTATAAGATCACTGATCCCATCATCAGGGCTCCTCCCTCCTCACTCAGCCACCCCTACAGGCCACCCCCCTCCACACACCATCACACCAGGGATTAGATTACAACATATGGATTTTGAGGGGGGAGGTGGGAGGTACAGACATTCAGTCCACTGCAAGGTCCGTGCCAAAAAGCTAATGTTTTATCCATTTGCCATGCTTTATAGAAGCGCTACTATATATCTCCTGAAATCCCATGATTACATTAAGTAGCATTCATGAGCATGTGAATAGCTGTTACTCTGTTCCCTGTGATCTGGTGTTCAAATGCCTTCCAACAGATTTACGGAATTAAGAAGATAGCCTTCAAAAAGAATTGCCAGTTGATTAAGTCATACTTAATCAAGTCAGACTCGGAAGACCTCGGGATAATGACTTGAGTCGAAGGCAAAGGTTTAACTATCTGAGCTATCCAGGTGCCCCGAAAGCCAAAATTAAAAAAACAACAAAACAACAACAAAAAAAACCACCTCATTTAAGTCATATCTAGACCCATTGTGGGGCTCAAATCCACTACCTCAAGATCAAGAGCCACACACACTTTGAGCCAGCCAGACACTCCAAAGTCAAATTTGGATAATAAAATCTGAGCTGATGACGAAGATGCCTGAGGCTTCTAGAACTCTGTCATCACACGCTTATTGCTGTGGGACACCCAGTCCCAGGCATTTATCGAGGTCACTAGAATATTTTTAGGGTATTTTATTTTATTATATTTTATTAATATTTATTAATATTTACTTATGATATTTATTTAAATATAAATATGTTTATGTTTTTATTATTTATTTATTAATTTTATTTATTTATTAGAATATTTTTCGAATATTTTTCTAAACAAAAAAGAATTTCATTTTACCAAGGACCGTTGACTTCTTGACTGGGTAAGATTAGAAATACAGGAGAAGTGGCTTCTGGGTGACTCGGTTGGTTGAGTGTCTGCCTTCAGTTCAGGTTGTGAGCCTGGGGTGCTGGGATCCAGCCGCGCATCGGGCTCCCTGTTTGGCGGGGAGTCGGCTTCTCCCTGTTCCTCTGTTCCTCCCCCTGCTTGTTCTCTCTCTCTCTTTCTCTTAAATAAATATTAGAAATACGGGAGGCAGAACTGACAAGAGCCATACCAATGGCATTTAAATACTACTTTTCTTCGTGTGAAACTCAGCAGTTTATGCATTCACACGGGAAAATGCTATCTGGGGACATCCGTCTGAAATCACAAGCTTTTCATTTTTTTAAGAACAAGGGCTAGTTCTTAATTTGAGGGTGGAAATTGCCTGCTTCATATATATTTTGTATGGGACAAGGGATGTCATTTTGTAGAGGGAGATCTGGTGGATGATTTTAGGCTGTTTCTTAAGGAGTTTCAGGTTGTAGTGTATGCAGAGTGATCTAAAGAGGGGAGGAAATAATGGACCCAATGATAGGACAGAGGAATAAGCTTCAAAATCAAATGTGGAGGGAAAGAAAGAGACATGACTAAGAAGAATATGGAAATACCATCTGTGGGACATCTCTGCTTCAGCCTCTGAAAAACTGTCCTTGACTACAGTACGTAAAAGCCTTTTGTCCTCATCAGTTTTCCTTCAAGATAGTGTATGTCACATAAGCAACAAGGCAAACCATAATCATTTATATTCCCTCCAGACGTCGGAGCGGGCATGGAGTGATTACAAGAACATTCTGGAAGAGCTGTAGCCACCGGGAATAAATTAGAGAGGTGGCAGTCCCTGGATGTTCATTTTCCCGATACATTTCTGAAGATGACATGAAGAATTTAACCCACCAGATGAAGCGCTCACAAATGAAGAATAATTCCAATAGCAAAATTTCTCACTCAAAATGGCCTTCCTGACAGAGCTGCTGTCTGGTTTCGAGACCGACGTTTCACAGAGAAAACGGTATGAACTCTTGCTTTGGAAAATCACAGCCTAGTCATAGTCAAACTATGTGTCAGACTGTGTGTGGCTCCATGCCTTGGGGTTCTCTTTTCAGTTCTCCACGGGGGCGCACTGTCCCATCTCGGCCTCTGCCGGGAACCGGGGCCACCGACATCCTACTTCCCCTTCCCCAGCCTCAACCCCCCTCAGCTCCCCCGCTGTTTTCCTGGTTAACTCCTACTAAGTTTCTCAAAAACACTACATCCTCAGGGGGGCCTCTCCGAGCCTCTGGCTGTAAGAGCCTGTCTGCCATATTCATATTTCGCTTTTGTGACCCTCATCGTGCACCCCAGCTACCTGTGTGATGTCCATCTTCCTCTCCAGACCGGAAGTTCGATCTGCCAGAGCCACGCCTGTTCTCTCTGCATGACTCACACCTGTCCCAGCCCTAGCTGACAGCAGGTGTCCCTCGAGCAGCACCTGACGTAAAGTGGGTCTCCCGGGAAGGAACATGACTTGTACATCCGGTTTTCATACTCTGATGTGGAACTCAAGGACTGGATCTTTCCCTCTTCCTCCTCCCCCTCCTCCTCCTCTTCCCCCTCTTCCCCCTCCTCCTCCTCCTGCTCTTTCTCATCCTCCTCCTCTTCTCCATATCTTTTCGAGTAAGCTTAGCCGCAGCAGTGGCTTCTGGTGGAACCGAGTGTGTTGGCGCAGACAGCCTCCTCCCCCCCTGCAATCGGGCCTTCCTCTCCAGGCTGCTCCATGTTAGAAATCCTCCTGAAGATATCCGGGCTGGCCTGGTTTCACAGTGATGCCAAACGGACAACAAAGACTTAGTTGGTTTCCAAAAAATAAAGGAATAACACTCCCACCCATCTGTTCACAACACAGGTGTGAATCAATGTTCCTGGAAACCCGTGTCATCTTCTGGGGGTGGGGGTTTGCAGAAGCCTGTCATGGAGAAATTCATAGGTTCAAGAGTCCAGTTCCCTATCGTTAAGGGAGGAAAGGGGATTCAAGCGGCAGCCAAATTGTTTGCTGGTTTTATGCCCTCGAGATTCATATGAGGCTCGTCCACAAGACCCTGCCACC